TAATAAACTGAATAGCAATAGCTATAACATCTGGTGACCCCACTCCACTATAACTCCATGATTACAGATCGAATATTACCAATATTAGAAGGTAATTTTCCCTGACTGTATCGGTTGCATGGATTTACAAGGCATCGCTGGGCAACCAGTTGAACTTGTTTTGGCCGCAGATTTTGCAGCTGCCAGTGGCCACCAAATGGGAGCAGAGTGATGAGTCATTCCGGCTAACTAAACCAACTTGGCCCATCCAAATAGCCAAAAAAAAAAACGAGGGGTAAAATGGTCGAAAAGCAATTACACTTGCAACAATAGAAGCTGCAGCTGTAAAATTTATGGCCCAAACGTCACAGGAACATGATTTTGGTCCGCACACATTTGAAAAGAGGGAAACGAAACGGTGACGGGGCCAGAGTTCACTGTACCGTAAAGCGTTGGCAAGCAAAACGCTGAGCATGCGCAAAAGTCACAACCGAAACAAGTTTTCGTAGCGTTTTGTTTTTCCAATCTTTTTCTGTTATTTGCCATCTCTTTCCAATTTTGTTTTGTTTTTATTATTTTTTTGTTATTTTTTTTTAGTTTAGTTTTAAGTTTTTCGTGAGGGGCTGCCCCACAAATGCAGACTCGAGTGCTTTTGGTTGCAACGCGGGTTCAACGACTTGGGGATTGTAAAAATATAACTTTGGGAAGGGGGATTTAAGACGAAGAAATGACTGTCGATAGTTAAACGCCGAGCAAGTGGAACCAATTAATGCGGTGCGGACCAGTCAAAAGAAATCCGAAAAAGCCGGAAAACTACCGACAATTGAAAAGCGTTTTTTTGTGAGCCAAACGGCAATTAACGCTGGCCGCTTCCTACAATTCGGATATGCAATTAAAATGCAAATGCTAACCGCCGACAGTCCAGACCCAGATCGAGTCTGGGTTTTAGTCTCATTCCGATTCCGATTCCCATTGCCATTTGCTCAAGACATTTCCAGACGTTGATGGATTTGTGTGATGGCATCATAACTCATTTTCTCCAACACATGTTCACAGATTTTCATATGGTGGAGACCTGCAAGTCGTTACTTTGCACTTGGCGGATATGTAAACGGGTGAAAAATGGGGGAACTGAGAACTGGGAACCATTTAAAGGGTGCTCTCTTCACTTTGTTTATTTTGGGGTCAACATTTCGGGCCTTTGTCTCCGTACCCGTGTTAGCCAGCCTTTGTTTTTATTTGGCGGTTCGTTATCGCTTCACATTTAATCTTATCTAACTTCTAAGCGCAATTACTTGTTTGACGGCCGCCAACCAAATACCAGGGAAATATAATTATTTTTGTCAGTTCCTTTGTAATGGGACACAATACTCATATATTTATTGGCCAGGTAACCCCCCGAAACAAGCCAAACAAAATTAACCAATCCCAAACAGTCGAGCCTCTTTCCCATCGAAAGCTTAAACTATGCAAATCTATTTTCAGTTTCTTTGTTTTTAAACGTTTGTTTGATGATTACAGAGTTATAAATAGATGGAAAGTCATTAATCAAATGAAAGTAACAGTTATTGAGAGATTTATAGCACTAAATATAGTCGACTTGTAACCAAACAAACTGGTTAATTGCTAACTATAGAAAAAAAACTTTATAATTGATACTATGGGTTTATGTATTTACGTACAAGGTTTTTATAATACCATAAACCTCTTTCATAATTATTTATTTTTAAAGACAAATCCATCGCTATCAATTTAAGTAGTTTCTTATCACAGCCCAACTACATTCCAAAACCTAAGCCATTTTGCAATGAGGATACGATACAGTTTGAATCACCGTTGTTGTTCGTGACATAGTCTTATCATCATATATGTACATATAATATTTTGCGAACAGGAAACTAAAACGGCACTTCCCTTACGATCCCGCCTTCATAAATATTTTAATCAAAAATGTTATAAGCACGTGTTGCGTTAGCCATCAATGCAAAAAGGAATACATAAAACAAGAGGTACATAAAAAAGCCATCAAACCCACGATACGAGTAAAATACATCTTGAATTATGCTAATCGACTATCAAAACAAAAGCTGCAATTAAACCACACACTCGGCTGACTTTCACTGCGAATCTTTGAACAATCGTCGGCCGTTTCGGTGTTTCTCTTTTTGTATTATATGCAAATTGATCTAACGCATCTCGAGTCCAACTGTTGGCCACTCCAAAGTGGGTTTTGCGTAGTCCAAAGGCTTTTGTTTTGGAGGAGCTGCCTGAACCAGGGTTCAGGATATAATACGTTATATAAGCAGCTGTCGGCGGTGACAATGGATCGTGATCCTGTCAGCTGTGTGGCGCGTGTTGAACCCAGTTCGCCATCCGGCGAGGGGGTGGTCCTGCCGGGTGAAAGGGGGTTGGACGGGGCTTGAGTGACAGCTAGCACAGCGATAAAAACAGGGGTATGTACATACATACGATCATACCTTCAGCGGACCGCAGAGGATCTGGAATAATACGCCCAACACGTCGGAACAAGCAGACCCTTAGGGGAACATTAGGTGCAATGATACCCGAATACTCCTAAAATTAAGTACTATATGTTTATCCCAATAAGTATTCTCAGAACTGTTTAATATTGTAGATTTAAAAAACTAATTTCATAATTTACGATGTGATTTTAAGGTTTCTAAAGTTAAAACGTATTTATTTTTAGCACCTTTATTAACATTCTTGTTTGCTTTTTACCTTCGATCCTTTTGGAAAAGGAACCCTTCCTCACCCCCGAGAAAAGCAAATACCCTCGCCACATGAAAGGGTATTGTTGAACCCGTTTAATTGGCTTTAAAGTGCTCAGAATAGGATGGGCACGTCTGCTAACATGGACACGCATGCGCAAAGGAGCGGCGTCATCCTCCTCAACCTCCTCCCTGCTTTTCCATATAAATAAACGAAATGTGCCTCGAATCGAGAAACAGACTGTCAATCGTGGAGAACCAAGCAACGACACTTGTATGCCTGGACGGGGGCTCCAAGAAATGTTTCCTCATTTCCGCACTCAATTAAAATGGTCGAGACACAAATCTATCTTTGAGTTTGCTTTAAAAACCCAACAAAAACAACTGCGAAGGCGACGTTGACATGGGGCAGCATTTTGCCTGACTCTGCCTATAAATAGCATTTATTTCTCTCTGTTTTCCAGGGTTTATGTACACATGGAATGGTTGTGGGTGCGGGATGTTGATGTGAATGTGGTAGGAGGACAGCTGTGGGAATTGTAAGAATCGGTGGTGACATTTGCAGTTGCGACTGCGCTCTCTTTCTGTTTGATTCACGGTCACGTTTTCCCCTCGAACCTTCTGAATTCTTCAGAACAAATATTATTGAAAAGCGTAGGGTAGTACATAAATAAACTAAGATAAGGGTCAGGCTATACCATAAAAACAAGTCATTACTTAAGTCCTAAGCTTGTTAAATGAATTTTAGAGATATATTATATAGACGATAAATCAAAAAGATTATCTTTTAAACTACTTGGCATATAATTAAATATGATCCATAATAATATTTCTCTAAAATTCCTAAATAATTTTTCTCATTTTGATTAATTTATATATATTTTTTCACACGCTACCGATACTGTGTCAAAAATCACACTACCCCTTAATAGGGCATTATCACTTCCGCATTTGCTAATCGATTGCTTGGTTGCACCACTCACATATGTGGGTAACCGATTTTCGTGGGCAAGAATTCGCCAATGTCAGGCATTGTGAAAAGCGCAAGTCAACAAAAAAACAGCCAGAGGCCTTCACAGGTGAGCACTCACAATCTGGGGGGTTCCAATGGATTTAGACCCCGTAATACCAGAACCCAATCCTCTGAAGATAGAAACACTTACCTTAGGACTGGTGCAGATCTGGCAGGGCAAGTGCTATTGGCAAGTGGGGATTATCTTTCCGGGGACGCACACAGACATTGAGGAAGTATTCACCCACTTGGAATCGATCTCCTCCGTGGGTTTCGATGGGTTTCTCTAGTTTGATTGTCTTGCGCTTAGAATTTAGAACTTGAAATTTTATCAAACGCGACACTTCTCCGAAATATTGTTTTGAAAACTTGAAGTATTTTCGGTTGGGTGTTTTGTTTTTCTGAGTTCAAACAGCTCACTTTCAAGCGACGACGAGCACGATCGCGTACCGTCGCGTTGGGATTACCGGGTCGAAGTGAAACCGCCTGTCAACAAACAAACCACTTTTGTTGCATTTCGAAAAGAAACGGCTGGAATTAGGGATGGGAAAAATATATCAAAATATAAATATATCGATATTTTTGAATAAAAATAAATATTTATCGATATGATTTTTACCTGATGTATCGAATATGATGTGTTGTTAAAATTTATTTTTATTTTATAATATATAGAGTGATAAAACCGCCACTGAAATTAAAAACGTGTAAAAACAGACCACGGTATTTTTATCACGATATTTTATTTTCTATTTCTTTTTCAGCGATAACATTGCTGTTAATGAACTGACTGGGCGCGAAAACCGCCACTGAAACGCGTTTAATTAACAAGAGCAACAATAACATTTATCGATTAAGAGCGCACTTTGTTTATGAGCGGGAATTACTCTTACCACTTTGGAGTGAATTGTTGAATGGAAAAGAAAAGAAAGAAAAACAACAAATAGCGGGAAAAAATGAAAGAAAAAGAGAACGGTAAAAAAGAGAGATCACTCGCGCAACAGCTGAGCGATAGAGATGCAACAAAATTCGATAGTACTCACGGGTCAGAGAGATGGTCTCTAATCCACTATTGATATTTCAGTGTGACCAAAGGGGTAAAATGGCGCGTGTTTTAAATATGTATCAATTATTAAAGTAGGAATTATTCGTGTAAAAAGTACACACATACTTTATCACTTACTCCATTGCTACCATAGCCTGACAAATGATTCGTTCTGCTATTTACGTATGTAAAACGCATTTAGCTAGACAAGTAGTTAGTTTAACTTGAACGTTTCTCCAAGTAAATCGCAGAATGAAAAGCCTCATAATAATTCTGTTCATCTCTGTGTTATCTGACAATCCAAGCTTTGTGCTTAGCGATCAAGAATATTCAAGTTCCACCGCCGAAATGGTCAGGTTACTTCGAACTAGAGAGTCACTCGCCTCAGTGCTCTACGAATATGCAGTAAAATTACAGAAAAAACTGGACACGCTCGAGCTGTGAGTTAACTAATTTAAAACCCTGGGCCAAGAAGATTCTCCGCTGATCATACAGTTTTTCAGAGTAATAGAACAATTGGAAAAATGGGGAATGGGACAAGACTTTAGTGCTATCAAGTCGTTTGCCCTTCTGCGACATCTGCACCACGACTGGCCAAAGTGGTTAAGCTTTATGCGGAAAAATGATGGAAAAGGTATTATCCATAAAATTTTCAACCTATTCACGGTCTAATTAGGTATTTTATTTTAGCCGAGATAGAAAAAATGGCAGGTTTTCAAGAGTATTTGCCCTCGAAAGATGATTTTTCAGAGGCAAGGCATAGCATTTATCTTTTAGTAAGTATGTATGATCTTAAAGTTCAAGATTTTTCCCGAGGACGTATAAATGGCAGGCAATATAGGTAAGACAAATGTTTCAACAACAATTTGGTTAAATTATCTTCTCTTTAAAGATCGCGTTTGGATGTTCTGGACAGTTTCGCTCTTGCAAAATTTGGGCATCAGAAAGGATATTATCTGCAAGCGGAAGATTGGTTTAAAATGACTGAGATTTTCTATTTTTTTGCCTTTTCTAAACCACTGGAGGTTATGGGCTTTAACTTTGCCCAAGCATGGCAATTATATGCAAGAAACCTTTTAGATATGAGTAAGTATTTTTTCTTGACCTTAATGAAAATATATTTCCTATATTTTGACGACTTTCCTTCCAGATAAAAAAGTTTCCGCCTTGAAAGTTCTGAGAGAAGCCTTGACTTGGGCATCCCACGACGTGGTTATCGAACGCCAAATAAATGAACTAAAGGGGGATCTCTATCAGCTTGGACAACCAAAAAAAGATCAGTATGAGGAGTTTTACCCCGCCCACAAAGATGGATGTCGGGGTCTTTTTGAAGATTCCAACGATTTAAGCTGCCATTACGACTTCACAACTCATCCCTTCCTGCGATTGGCACCATTCAAGGTGGAGGTTCTCAACGAGGATCCATTTGTGGCCAAATACTATGATGTGATATATGACAACGAGATTTCGGAACTAAAGAATATTACCATTCCGGTTATGACACGATCGTCTACCGTCAATAGGGAATCGTATGAAATGAAAAAGAACCCTGGTCGCACCTCCAAAGGACACTTCCACCCCTCCAATTCCAGTTGGGTAGTTAAAAGTATAAATCAAAGGATTAGCCAAATTACGGGATTTGGCCTTCGAACCAAGAAATCAGGCGATAGTATCTTGGTGCTCAACTACGGTTTGGGCGGGCAGTATTTGCCCCATTACGATACTCTTGGCGCGAATGTGAGTCATAGAGATACCTTTATAAATATTCTTATTTTCTAATTTTTTATTCAGAGTACAATATATATCTCGGAGGGCGATAGACTAGCCACCGTGATTTTCTACGTAAGTTGAGTATACTTTGGTTTGTAGAAATGGCATAAGTATCCAATTATTTCCTGATTCTTTGCAGCTAAGTGACGTGGAGCAAGGTGGCTTGACAGTTTTTCCCCATCTCCAGATCAGCCATACTCCCCAAAAAGGAACCGCCTTACTGTTCTATAACTTGAACCCCAAAACCCTTCAAAAGGACAAATACTCTGCACACAGCGCCTGTCCCGTTTTAATGGGCTCCAAATGGGGTAGTTTATTCAGCTAACTAGTGAGTTCCTTAATATATTTTCTGTGTTTACTTTAATAGTTTCAGCCACCTGGATATATTCTGCGGATCAAATGTTCCACTTACCCTGCGCTCTGCAATATGATAACGATGATGATTCATTTGAAGATCTTGAGGATTACTAATACTAGTAAGCCGGCGGAAGAAAGAGATGAGGGTGGAAGGAGGAGGACCCATTGTATCGTATGATTTTCCGCCTTTGATTTTGCGCCCTCATAATGGGACAGTGCCACGCTTACTAATTGAGCTCAATTGAGAGAGGCTTGTATAGCCGGTACTGGTAGGTTCCAGGGGTATATTGAATTTACTTAAAAGTAAGAAAGTCTTATGTTATCCCCTAATGCTAATAATAGATTCGGTTTTTATAAACATATATTTTTCTAAAGAATACTAGACTTATTGTATGTGGCTTAAGTGTTTTTACATGACATAATAATATTTTACCATAATATATACAATGAGAAATGAAGTCTCCAAACTGGAAAACATTATTTTTATAGACCAGTAGTAAGTATCTTAAAGTTGGGACCCTGAACTCCAGAGTTTCTTCGTTTTTTCTGTGAGATTCACTTAATTGTCTGTCGGAGTCGGAGCGCGGCTCAATTGGAAGAGGAGAGAGCACAAGAGCTCTTGAGTGATCGCCTGATTGACGAACGACCATACATACAATGTGGCGTTCGAGTTTCCACTTACCTGACTTCGAACGGCTGTGCAAATGGAAAAGTGGTAGAGCATTTTCATGTAAACGGCTGGGATCGCTGTAATTTGCTACCAACACGACTAGGGGTGGCTCGATACCAGTCACCTCTCATCCTCCCGTCCAATAACCAGGAACTGGAGTGGCGGTATCGGCATTATCGTGGTATTAGAGAACCACTCTCCCGATTCCACAGAGAGTGCGCATGCAGCCGGCATTTGTTTGCCCGTCTTCTTTTTTTTTCGCCAACATAAACACTCGGGGATATAATATATATGGTATCCGAGTATCAGAGCGGTTCGGGTACACACTCAGTCCATAAGCGTTTGTTGGCCCTGTCGGTCTGCCTGAGCTATTGCATTGGGTTTTGGTTTTAGTGCTTAGTTCGGTTTCGTTGGCCTAAGGTGACGCATCGGGTGCCGGTTTCTTTGTCCAGTTCCGCTCCGTTCTTGTACTTCCTCTCTGGACTGTGTTTTTCTGTTCTGACCAGGCCAACATATAATATTTTGGCAACACGTGTTGTCCGATAATTGCCGGAACGGAGAATTGTACTTGAGTTCTCTCTCTTTTTTTGGGAGGGGGGAGCAAAGTACACGTCAACGGAGCAGAGAACCGAGTGGCGAAACATTCGGGCTCTGTGTTTCTCAGGAACCGCCGAGTGCTTCGACATCACGAGATAGTGCCCAAAAGCATAGCGGTTCCGAGTTAGTGATTCATTGTACCGCCACCGCTAGACGAAGTCAGCTGCTACGCGAAAAGGAATCTAAAATTTAGATTTTCTTCAGGTTTCTAACAAAAACATGGGATACGACGAGGCCATCGTCCATGTGGGCGACTTTGGACGCTACCAGAAGATAATCTACTTCCTCATCTGCCTGACCTCCATTCCAGTGGCCTTTCACAAGTTTGCGGGGGTCTTCCTGCTAGCCAAACCCGACTTTAGATGTGAGTTACCTTACGAGAATGGCAGTAGCACCTATGAGTTGCCCACCCACCTGTGGAACCTCTCGTTTCCCCGGGGGGAAAAGTGTGCCTACTACGATGTGGAATACAGTGAGGAGTACCTAAATGGCAGCATTCCCCGGAGTAGCAATGAAACTAAGGCCTGTTCCCGATACGTTTACGACCAGAGCAAGTACCTCAACAGTGCGGTGACCGAATGGAACCTAGTTTGTGGCCGGGACTTCCTGGCAGCCACCAGCGATTCCTTCTTCATGCTGGGCGTCCTCCTGGGCAGCATTGTCTTTGGCCAGCTGAGTGACAAATATGGACGCAAGCCCATCCTCTTCGCCTCGCTGGTCATCCAGGTGCTGTTCGGAGTTCTGGCCGGAGTGGCTCCGGAGTACATCACCTATACATTCGCCCGACTCATAGTGGGAGCCACTACCTCCGGAGTGTTCCTGGTGGCATATGTGGTGGCCATGGAGATGGTGGGACCCGACAAGCGCCTCTACGCCGGCATTTTCGTGATGATGTTCTTCTCCGTGGGATTCATGCTCACAGCGGGCTTTGCCTACTTTGTCCACGATTGGAGGTGGCTGCAGATTGCCCTGACCTTGCCGGGAATCATCTTCATGTGCTACTACTGGATCATTCCAGAATCCGCCCGCTGGCTTCTCTCAAAGGGTCGAAAAGATTGCGCCATTGCCAATATGCAAAAGGCGGCGAGATTTAATAAGGTGGAAATAAGTGATGAGACCTTGAGTGATCTGCTGGATGAGGGAGAGTCTTCCGAAGAGAAGGCCAAGCAAAAGCTGGAGGATCAGGAGGATGCGGGACCACCGCCCTCTGTGTGGGATCTCTTCTGCTACCCCAATCTCCGCCGGAAGACGCTGCTCATCTTCCTGGACTGGTTGGTCACGAGTGGCGTGTACTATGGACTTTCCTGGAACACCAATAATCTGGGTGCCAACGTGCTTCTCAATTTCCTTATCTCGGGAGCTGTGGAGATACCAGCCTATATATTCTTGCTCCTCACACTGAACCGCTGGGGCAGAAGATCCATTCTGTGTGGCTGTTTGGTTCTGGCGGGAGTCAGCCTTTTGGCCACCGGCATCATTCCGGAGAAGATGAACACCCTGATTGTGGCCTGCGCCATGTTGGGCAAACTGGCCATCACTGCCTCGTACGGAACCGTTTACATATTCTCCGCCGAGCAGTTCCCAACTGTGGTGAGGAATGTGGCCTTGGGAGCCGCTTCCATGGTGGCCCGTATCAGTGGAATGATGGCACCCTACCTCAACTTTTTGGCCACCATTTGGCGACCACTGCCACTACTCGTCTGCGGATCCCTCTCCCTGACAGCGGGATTACTATCACTTCTGCTGCCGGAGACGCACAATAAGCCCATGCTGGAGACCATTGCGGATGGCGAGCGGTTTGGTAAGAAGGCCAAGGGAGATGTCTACCTGGAGACGGGCCAGGAACTCCAGCAGAGCCCAGAGTCCCAGCCCCTGAGGGGATCAGCTGACGCAAATGGATCTAAGACCAATGGCCACAAGTACTAGGAAATCTCAAGACCCCAACGTACTTAAACTTTTCCAGAGGTTACAGGGCTTCTAGAATTCGGCCAGGCCAAAGGCGAGGCATTTACCTATTAAAGAATAGACCAAGTATTATATCATTTCTGAAATCTCACACGCAACCAAAAAAGAGAAGACAGAAGATCATGATCATGTTAGCATTTAGCCTTATAAAAGGGGTTGTTTTCCCAGGGGAAATTACATGGAAACCCTTGACGCTGCATAATTTATTCCTAAATCTATTTAACTTTAGTTTACCAATTACATGTATGAAGTCCATGGACATGATTTTGAAATAAAATGTATTTTTCCGAGAGATTAAATCTGTTTCCCCGCCTCTTTATTGACCCCTCATAAACCCGGAAAAAAGTCATTTGAAACGTGTTTCCGTTTATAGTGTTTATTTTCGTAGTCGTTTATTTTCTTATCAGCCCCCAAAAACACGAGACTATCGTTTGAGAAGTGAACCCGCACCCAATTTGGAATCACGAGATTACAAAGTGCTTAGTTATAATGGCAGAAATAAAAAAATATTTGGAATGCGAGTCATAATCATACGATTCCTCAGGGTGACTACATAATATTCGCGTAAACACTTGTCCTTGATCTTATTTTCTGCGTGGCTGTACGGAAAGTGGATCGTTAGGTACTATTTTAGAGTGCACCACAACATGTTCTCTGCATTTCCCAATTAATATTTTCGAACAAGCTCGGTAATGTTTGAGATAAGAAATGGAAACATACTGGGGCAAAGAGAAGTCAACAGAAAAGAGAGACAAAATTCGATTGGAAGAGCAGTGTTTTAGAAGAGTGTTTATTATCTATACGCACACACAAGTAATACCTATACAGGGAACACATATGTGTATATCAATATACAGACGAGGTAATAATACTACGTTTTCTTTAATATATCTTAAACTACTTATTTTAATGGAATTTATATGAATAATTTTTTAAAATAATTTCAAGTGTTTTTACTTAAATTTTTTTGTTTAAATATAGAACTTAAAAATATTTATTTAGTTCCCAGCACTTTTTTATTTTGTTGAGTTAAGGAAACGTTTTAAGACTTTTTTTATGATATCGGCACAAATTACAAATTTTCTATGTATCCTCTTAAAAATATATATTTTCCTAAATCATAAATTTTGAGTTAATGGATGAATTGACCCCAACTGTTCGCGGGAAATCAATTTATCTTTTGTCGGCAGACAGTTTGGAATCAGGCCACAATCAGTGGACTCTTTCCTTGGTCAGGAGATGTTCCTGAGGGCTCTAATTGATATCGTACGATGTCCAAATCAGTGAGACAGCTGCTCATCTCATCCCACCGTTCCCCATTTTCACCCCTGTTTTGGGAAATGGGAACTATTAAACCTATTTCGATTTTCTTGCTGCGATCGCTGATCAATAAATTGGTCACAGGGTGGAACGGAACGGAGAACGCTTCTCTACACGCATACACTCACAGCCTGAGACCGCTCACACAGACACGCTGATAGGCGGGCGTTCTGGGTTCCCCAGAGCTCTTTGTTTTTTCTGATTTCAGTCTGAGACTGAGGCAGCTGGCGAGCGGTCGATCGCACACTCCGAGATCAATTCCAAGTCCGAGATCCGCTGGCTGGAGGTCAGCTGCTACTCCTACTGCAGCTGCAACCTGGTTCCGTTTTCCAACCAGATTCAAAGATTGTTGCACAATCGAACGGGTTCACGGGGCGCATACGCAACGCGCTGCGATAATAAGTTGCGCATACGTCACGGTGCCGCGAATATTGAACTGCTGGCCAGTTATCGTACGACACTCTACGGTTGACAACGCGCAAATCTCACGTGTGACACCTGTTCGGCGCTGAACTAAACTTTAATCATGGGCTACGACGATGTCATCACCCACCTGGGTGAATTTGGACCGTATCAGAAGCGCATTTACTATCTTCTATGCCTTCCGGCCATCGTTTGTGCATTCCACAAGTTGGCCGGTGTATTCCTGCTCGCAAAGCCCGACTTTCGATGTGAGTTGCCCTACGAGAATGGCAGTGCCACCTATGAGCTACCCACCCACCTGTGGAACCTCTCATTTCCCGGTGGGGAAAGGTGTGCCTACTACGATGTGGATTACAGTGGGGAGTACCTAAATGGCAGTCAGCCCA